CACTGAATTTTGTCTATTATTTCCACTGTTTTTGGCCTAAATGTCAATACAAGACAATACGTAAAAGTAATTTAACTTCACATCAATTAATTCATTCAAAAATAAAACAATTTAAATGTGAGTTTAATAATTGTAATAAAGAGTTCGCACAAAATGAAAGTTTAATTAAACACAAAAATAGTATTCATTTAAATGTGAGATTTATTTGTAATTTCAATGAATGCCACAAAAGTTTTACACGAAAAGGAGATTTATTTCGACACAAAAGTTCTGTTCATTTGAATGAAAAGAAATTCAAATGTAATGAAAAAAATTGTGGCAAAAAATTCACAACAAAACAAATTTTACTTTCACACAAATTCGCACATTTGGGAGAAAAACCTTTTATTTGTCATTTCAATGATTGTAATAAAGCATATTCCGCAAAATGTCAATTAATGTTACACATAAAAAAACATGCGAATATAATAAAGCTTTAATTTGGACACAAAACTGTAATTAGTTGTATCCTTATTTAATTTGTTATATACAAAAAATAATTAATTTTTCAAATGGACTTAATAGTAATTAAAATCAATCAATGTTAATTTTAGATTACTATTATAACTTTTAAATAATAAACTATTTTTTCTAAACCATAGACTTGATTATCATATAATTGTTTTAAATTAAAATAAATATTATTTGTATATCATACGATAATTATCATATTAAAATATGTTTGTAAAATATTATGCAATAGTTCATTAAATTTATTATAATTTAATTAAACATGAAATAAAACAATTATTTAATAACATACATGACTGCCGAGTGGGTCACGTATAAAATTCATAATAAAATAACTTGATTTTTGTTTGTATGAAATATAATAAATAAAATTATTATATAAATCACATAAAATTTAATTTGTTTATTATTAATTTAAATCCATATTTAATTACATATTCTGATAATGATATCCATCAACCAATTTGAATGTCTGTCTCAATGAAAACCTCTTCCTTTTTATTATGAAATTTTGCCAAAACTTTGCTATTAATTGGTCTGTAATTCATTGAAATTATTAGGAAATTAAACAATTAATACAATAATTATTAATTATTTCGAATAAATTTTATAAATTCATTAATATAAGGTTTAATAATTTAAGATATTCAAAATATAAAATTGTAAATTACTTACGCTTTTAATTTACGGCAAAAATAAACGCCAATTAATATTAAATTTATAACAATTACACCGAAGGCAATGATTAGCCAATGATAGCCGGACCCGGTGTTAGTCGCCTTGTTTTGTGACAATTGTCCAGAATTGGTGTTTACCTTGTTTATAATTTGACCCTAAAAGTTTTATATGTTAAAATAATTTTGTTGTAAATATATTTGAATTTAATATTAATAATAAAACTCACATTTTTATTGCAAACCATATTTTTAGGGCAAACACAACGATAACTGTCCCTTCGGACGGGTAGACAAAGTTGAGTGCAGTTATGGTTAGCACAGCTATCGGTGCCGTTGGGCTGACGGGAGGCGTCCAATACTCGCACCCCTTGTACTGCGGTATACGACAGAACCGCTGTATCAGTAGTGTTGCCATCAGTCCTGTGAACACCACTTCCATCAGAATTGGACCAAAATATATAACCATCGAAAACATCCATAAAATATGCACTTTTTAATAGAGTTTTATCGACGAGTATTTGCCGCAAATTACCCCCAAAATAGTCCATTGAATTTACTGAACCCATATTTTTGTCGATCCAATAGACTGTTTGTGTTTTTATATCTATTGATAATATCGTTGGTATTTCTGTATTATTGTTGATCACCTGTACATCACTTCCGTCTAAATTGGCACTCATTATACGTCCCGTATATTTACGTAATACTGAGCTATACGTCCATTGAGACCACACAAGTAGGCCCTCCAGGGGGTCGACCGCCACATCTCCTTGTGTTTCAAAGTGTGTGATCACATCATATGAATACATATTATCCGATAGTGTGAACACTTCTATGCCTTTTAAATATGAAATGTACACTGAATTGTGGACCCAATCGTATGCCATATACTTAATCTCATAATCCTTAGAAAAAACTTGTGTTTTAGTGTTTGAATATTTCGAGGGCTGATTGGTATCAATTGATCGCACGTATAGTGTAGTCGCATATCTATTACGGCTCTCTAACCATAGCATGTAATTGTGTTCATAATTATAACCCAATCCTGTAATCATTTGTAAACTCGTATACAAAGGCATTGAATCAAAATAGTCATCATTAAAATCGTAGATATGTTTTGTAACGTAAATCCCCTCATAATCTCTGGCAAACATTAGATACGTTTCGTTTGGCATCAGTTTAAACGGTGGGAACATGTCTTGAGTGACAGGTGTGGTTGCAGTCAACCCATACACACGTGATGTACAGTCAGTACCCGTCCAGACCTGTCCATCACGACAAACACAAATATAGTTGTATTGATTATACTTTGGTGTCGGTAGACATAGTTGTGAACACATATGGTTTGCGCACCAATTAGTGGCCATTGGTTGTCGGGATTTGTGTATTACTTTCAAACCGGTTATAACAACACCTGATTTGACCGCAACAGTGGCCAACTCACTGGTGGACAACTTTGACCGACCAATCGGTGCCCTCATTATCGTATAATTACGCTCTTCAGCCCAATATAGATAACCGGCGTATATATCGGTAAACAAATTGTTAACAATATTATTAGTCCGGTAGTGAACTCGCCTATCGTTGCCCTCGTATGACACGCTATACAGTGTTGTAATATACTTATTATAAAATGTTTTTAACTTTTGTCTACCGATCCAATAGAGCCGCCGCTCATTAATGTCAACATTGAGACTATGCCTGTCTATGGGCTCCGACCGGAGCAGCACTCGTACGTTACGGCCGTCTTGTGTCGATCGCATTATACGACACTTGCGTTGAATCTCATTGTAATTATCCATAGGATTGCGAGGACTCGTGTCTATGTATTCACTCCAGAAGAGTAACGCCGCCAACGGATCCACTCCTATGTCTTTAGTCACACACTTTTGTTGGCTGACAATAGGGAACAGTTGTCTGGAGGCGGACGACATGTTCACCGCATTTATACCCATATATTTGTTAAAATATATTGTCTTACATATCGGCACATATATTATATTATGGATCCAATCCATGGCAAGTGAGTGATAATTAATGTCAATTGTATAATTAAAGTTAAAATTAGCTTGATTAGTTTTGGGATCTGTTTGATTAATAGGCAATGGTTGGCTAAACAATTGCCACTTATTTGTCACACTATTAAATGCAATGGATATTAAGTAATTGTTAGCGATATTATAGTCCAGTGAATAAAATGCATCGTTATTTTGATAGACAAACTCTGATTGAGAGTAATATATGGTTTGATTGACATCAGTGGACAGTCGGGCCAAACGTATGTCCCGTTTGTATGCCGTGAGCATCAGTAACGGCTCATCCGTTGCCATCATTGCAGACAATGCAGTGATATTTGCCGTCTGTTTGGGTATGTCTTGAAGTGTGGGAAGTGTTGTGTTATTATCACTACAGGTCTGGTTGTGCGGACACACACACCGATAGCCGTGTTTGCCGTTTGGGACACAAATGTGTTCACAATTAGTGTCTTTGCAATAATCAGTTCCCGATTTTTGTTTAGATGAATGTATAATACGTACAAAATCTATATTATCTTTTGATTTGACCACAGTTTCAACCGCTGAAGACATCTTATTATTATTTAAATCTAGTTTGAAAATTGTCTTATTTGTCGCCCAAAACATTAATCCGTTGAATACATCCATCGATAGACAGCCGGAAAACAATTGCTTTGAAAACATTAATGTTTTTCTATTATTCCCGTTATAATCAATGGATGACAACGAAAGCAACTCATTATCAATCCATACAATGGTTTGTGTCGTGAAATCAATTGCCAAACAATTTGGTTGTCTTATGTCTTCGTAGACCAGTATCTGTGGATCAGATCCGTCTTCATTGCATTTCCTGATAACTGCCGATCCGTTTGATAAGTGATATTCAGACCAAACAATAAACCCGTCAAAAGGGTTGACCACAATG